TTGAGCATGAAGGGTAATGCTTATCAAGCATTGTTTGTTTGCTGCCATAGTTTCTGAGCCAAGACCAGATGTTGCTAAACCAGACTTGGAGAGAAAATGAGTTTCCCAGTGAAAAACACATAAGGTAGCATTTGCAGCCACTGAGTCCACTTAACATTTTTTCTATTACTACATATTTATAAATTCTTCATGATTGCCAGTGGGATCACAGTTCATTTTTAGGTTTCTTGTATGTTACTCACTAAACTGTTTTTGTCATTGGGATAATAAATAACTGTAGTGTTTGACCAAATCATGTGGTATCTTTGCAGTGATGGGAGGTACGAAATATTATCTTCTTAATGTGGCCAGAGCCTAATGCAGGCGTCCTCAAGCTACAGCCCGCGGGCCACATGCGGGTGTTTTTGCCTGTTTGTTTTTTTTACTTCAAAGTAAGATATGTGCAGTGTGCATAGGAATTTGTTCATAGTTTTTTTTAAACTATAGTCCAGCCCTCCAGCGGTCTGAGGGACAGTGAACTGGCCCCCTGTTTAAAAAGTTTGAGGACCCCTGGCCTAATGAATTAAGAACAATGGCTGGATGTGTGATGTTCACTTATTTCAAAATCCTCAGCCAATGCCAATGGTGCAGTTCTAGCAATTTTATTATTTTCTAACAGAGCTCTGTTAATTAGAGGCTTACAATCTCAAGTCTTCAAACTATCTCACTAATTAATAATAACTAAGGTTAAAGTGCCTAGGGAATGCCATTTTTACCTTCCAACTAGTATTTGAGCAATATTTTTCTGTCACTTGTCATAGATTTAAAATACTGTTGATGTATTTGTTTCAAGTTACAGTTCAAAGATTTTTAGGTTTTTTTGGTATTTAATCTTTTTGGAAATTTAAAAAATTGGGTCTGGATTTTTTTCTTTTGCTTCTGAGAATACTTCTTTTTATTTAAAAAAACTGTAAATGAGGGCTGCTATCACAAGTTATATGGGGCCCCTAGGGGAAGAGGAGTAGAAAAGAAAGCTATACAATGTTTAATTGGTTTATAATAGAAGGATGGATTAACTGTGGACAGCAGTGAGTCTCCCATACCTGGTGTGGATCAGAAGGTCATCATAGCTAAAGTGCATTATTTTTTTTTTTTCCTGGTCATGTTCCAAGGGGTAGGAAACTCCTTGGATAGTCTAAATTTTATTGTCCTCAGAGTGTTATCTTTATATCTATTTTCCTTGTCATGGATTTTTGTCTTTCTAATTTAGGAGTGAAGAAATTATGGTTTTTGAGTCTTCATTCTTGTTAAGGACCTAGAATGGGGCTTCACAAAGTCTGGTGGAAATACTCTGGTGTAGAGGGAAGAGGATTGGGCCAGGAGTCAGACTACCTGGGTTTATTATTTACCTTTTTTTTTTTGAGACAGAGTCTCACTCTGTTGCCCGAGCTAGAGTGCTGTGGCGTCAGCTTAGCTCACGGCAACCTCACACTCCTGGGCTCAAGTGATCCTTCTTGCCTCAGCCTCCTGAGTAGCTGGGACTACAGGCATGCACCACCATGCCTGGCTAATTTTTTCTATATATTTTAGTTGGTCCATTATTTCTTCAATTTTGGTAGAGACGGGTCTCGCTCTGCAGGCGGTTTTTGAACTCCTGACCTTTGAGCGATCGCCCGCCTCGGCCTCCGCAAAGTGCTGATACAGGCGGAGCCACACCCCGCCTAGCAGGGGTTTTTAGACTGGTTTACCCTGTGTGATAATGCTTTAGAACTTTAAATGCTTATATACATGGAATCCTTAATATCTTAAATTTGTTCAAGTTCCATTTTCTCTTATGTAGGAATTTCAAGGATGACCTCTTCTCCTGCCCCCCGGTTGTGTGTCAGTTTTCTAGAGTAAAAGAGTCATCTCCGAGATGCTGGAGGACCTTGTCCACGTCTGGGAGGCAGGCAGGGTGCAGAGGGATCCCGCAACTCTGGGAGGGGTAGTGACAATGTTCTGAGAGGAGGACATGGGGAAGCACCAGTCTCTTATTCCACTGAGCGTTTGTTGTGACCTGCCTGCTTGAGATGCTCTCTTTTCTCAGCCGTGAAAGGGTAAATGACCCAAAGGACACATTTCACACACAGGCTATGCAGGAGCAACGTGGCTGGTTTATTCACCCGGGTGCTGGTGGGCTGAGACCGAAAAGAGAGTCAGCGCAGAAGGGGGTTCAGTGAGGGTTTTTATAAATGGGGATAGCCGACCCCTCCCACCTGCCCCATTCAGTTCTTTGTTTCTAGGCCAAACTGGCAGGTGAAGACTTGCTTCCTGCTGCGTGCAGCAGAGGACTGTGGGCAGAACAGTTGTTTGTAGTAAATTCTTCTTCAAGCAACCAACTGCTACTACCCTTTGCCCCAGTTGCATATCAGGAGAGCTAGGGAGGGCTAGCCTTGGTCTCCATCAGGGAGGGAGGAGGAAGGAATACTGGCTGCAGCTGTCTGTTAGATTCACAAAGCCCAGGGGCTCCCCAGACTCCTGCGGCTATTGCTTTATAAGCCTAAGTTTTGCATTAATCACATTCTGTCCTATACATGCTTTTCGAGTTCCCACCTGGAATAAACCTAACAAGATGTTAATTCTTTTCTTATGCTCTGGCTGTTCTGACGGCTCTCCAATGGCTTTCCAGTGGTTGGAAGTGTGCCAGATGTGACCTGCGGGAAAACCTCTGGTTGAATCTGACCGATGGCTCTGTCCTGTGTGGAAAGTGGTTCTTCGACAGCTCTGGGGGCAACGGGCATGCACTGGAGCATTACAGAGACACGGGCTACCCTCTGGCCGTGAAACTGGGAACCATTACTCCCGACGGGGCAGGTGAGTGTGCCTTTACCGAATTTGGGAATAGGCAGTGGTTTTCCCCTTAGATTTAACCAGTCTCTTCATCCCTATAGTTGGAGGGTGGACTGGGCTCAAACAGTCCAAGTTTGAGTCCTGATCCTGCCTCTTATTAGCAGTGAGTTTGGGCGAGTTTTCTAATCCTCCTGAGCTTCAGATTCCTCATCATGAGGATAACAATGGTCCCCCCCTCATCTGTTTGTTAATGTGCATAAAGCGTTTGGCCCAGTGCACATAGTAAGGTCGTAACGAAAGATAGCTGCTGTTGCTGTTATTCTCTGTATCTCTTAGCTAAGAGGACAGAAGCAGGAAACAGGGTTTGTGAAGTGAGTGTGCATAATCGAATCCACTCTGAGAACAGCAGGAGGAAGCCTTGGAATCCACTATGGAGATTAGTATCATTTTAGGAGCAAATGGATTCATTATGGAGAAGATGAGTTTTAAAGGATATGGTGTGTTAAGAGAGTCCCTGAAATCACCTGGCAGTGAGGGTGTTCACGTTCTTTGGAGGATCAGAATTGTTTCCTCCTTGTGCCGTCAGCTTCAGAGTCAGGTCTGTTTCCGTTCGTGCTCACACAGTGTGCCCTGAAACATTAGCTTCTGGCCATGTCTGGACAGTTAATACCTTCTACCGTTTTGTGAGGGAAAAGGGAAAGAATATTAGAGTCAATAATGAGAAACTTTAATATTGAGCAGTGGCTGTAAGAACCCATCATCTAATAATCATTGGAAACATTTAGTAGACACAGATCTGGATCAACACCCAGCCCGCTTGTCTCCTTATTTCTGGGATTTATGTAGTCTCTATTTCTTCTTTGCTTTAAGGTAAGATGTTGTTCTTAGGAAAATTATAAAATCTATCTTCTTCTTTTCTCTTCTTCTCTTGTTATTTTTCTATGACTGCATTAGAGTTAATTGGCCAAGATCTTTTTGCTAAATAAAGGGACACTTCTCACCCATCATTGCTTTTCTATTGAACTGGCTTAGTTTCTCCTTCATTTTATAATTGAGGGCTGGTAGTAAGGTTATGTCAGGATTCTTTTGTTTCACATTTTGGAGAATTTTCCTGCTTCCATATTTTAAGGAATTATCTTAACTCATCAAAGAAAAGTAACTGCAGGAGACCCAAGTGGTACCAAATATTTTTCCCCAAAGTGAATGACCTTATACACAATCCAGGTTTCATCCAAAATCTCTCAAATTAAAAGAGGAAACACAGGACATGCATTGGATTCAGGGTTACAGCATGGTGCTTAGAGGCCATTCATTGCCTGGGTGTTGAATGACTGGCATTCTCCTTATAGGGGGTTATAGAGAGAAAGGTTTGCAATGTAGGAATTCTTTGGGGTAAAATTGCCAGGGGATAATAATTCAGATTTTCCTTCTTTGTCTGCTGCCTTATGTAGTGCTTTTATAGGATGAGATATTAGAAATCCAGTTCTCAGAACTACTTGTGCAAGAGTATAACTCTTTGTAAATGTGTCTTGGTTCTTCTAAATTTTCAGTTGTTTGAAGGCAGGGCTATGTCTTACTCATCTGTGGGCTCCATACAAAATCTTACACACAGTAGGCACAGATACTTTTAGTAAATGAATCAACTGTTCTATAAACATTTAAATATGGTCATGTGTCACTTAAACATAGAGCATGTTCTGAGAAATGCATCATTAGTTGATTTTGTTATTGTGCAAACATCACAGAGGTACACAAACCTAAATGGTATAGCCTTCTACATGCCTAGGCTATATGGTACAGCCTATTGCTTCTAGGCTACACACCTGTTCAGCATGTTACTATACTTAATACTGTAGCAAATTGTACCAATTTGTGGTACAATTGGTATTTGTGTATCTAAACATAGAAAAACTACAGTAAAAATTCAGTGTAAAAGATGAAAAGTGATACACCTATATAGGGCACCTATCATAAATGGAGCTTACAGGATTGGAAGTTGCTCTGGGTGAGTCAGTGAGTGAGTAGTGAGTGAATGTGAAGGCCTAGGACATTATCGTACACTACTGTAGGCTTTATAAATAATGTACACTTAGGCTGTACTAAATTTATAAAAAAGATATTTTTCTGTATTCAATAATAAATGAACTGTAAATTTTCACTTTATAAACTTTTACATTTTTTAACTCTTTGATTCTTTTATAATAACACTTAGCTTAAAACACATTGTACAATTGTACAAAAATATCTTTCCCCGTATATCCTTATCCTATAAGCTAATTTCTATGTAAATTTTTTTTTTTTACTGCTTAAACTTTTTTGCTAAAAGCTAAGGCACAAACACACACATTATCCCAGACCTATACAAGGTCAGGATCACCAATATCACTGTCTTCCACCTCCATATCTTGTTTCCCTGGAAAGCCTTCAAGGGCAATAACATGTATGGAGCTGCCATCTATGCTGACAATACCTCTCTGGAATACCTCCTGAAGGACCTGCCTGAGGCTGTTTTACAGCTACCTTTCCTTTTTTTATAAGTAAAAGGAGTACACCCTAGATTAACAATAAAAAATATAATGTAGTAAACACATAAATGAGTAACAGTTGTTTATTATCAAGTATTATGTACTGTATCTAACTGTATGTGCTGGATTCTTATACAGCTGGCAGTGCAGTAGGTTTGTTTATATCAGCATCACCACAAACACATGAGTAATGCATTGCACCTCAATGTTATTACAGCTATGACATCACTAGGCAATAGGAAGTTTTCAGCTTTGTTGTAATCTTATGGGACTATTGTCATATATATGTGACCCGTCATTGACTGAAGAAATGTTGTTATTCGGTGCATGACCATTAGATTCTAGTTAAATGTATGCTAATAATAAACGCAAAGGTTAATTCTATTCTCTATGCATCTTCAATTTTCCAGAAGCTTTTTTTCTAATGGGGAACTTACCTGAAATCTATAGTGTAGTTTAAATGTAAAGTTTCTGTGCTTTCAATTTGAGGAAGGGAAGTTTTATAGTTTCTCCTTGATTAGATAAGAAACAGGTGTTCAGTGTAAATATAGAGACAATAAAGACAAAAGTTTAGACAAATAAATAAAAATCACTGGTAATACCACCCTCCAGACTAATCACTGTGAATAATTAAAATATTTCCTGTGAGTCCTTTTCTTTTTTTAAGGGCTTAATCAATTCTTATACACCACACACACACCACATTTTTACAAGAATTGGGTCACAGATCTTCTCACTCCTAACCGCAGAAGGACTCTGCCTCCTGCCAGGCTGCTGCTCAGTGCCGGGCGCGAAGCAGGCCGGGGCAGGCTGGCCGAGCTCCCGATTAGAAGAGGAGTCATGTCAGAAGAAACAATAAGTGAATCACAGTCTTCCTTGAAGACAGCAGCACTACGAGTGTTCGATCTTCTCTCGGTACTATTCTCTTTCCCAAGTGGAATGATGTTCCACTGTGCACATATACCACATTTTGCTTATGTGTGTGTTTGTCGATGGACACTGGGTTGCTTCCATGTTTTTGCTAATGTGAATAATGCTGCCATGAACATGGATATACAAATATCTCTTCAAGACCCTGCTTTTGATCATTCGGGGTATATATCCAGAAGTGGAATTGCTGGATCATATGATCAAATTTTCACTGGTTGCTCAAAAATTATCTGTGATAATTGTAGTGAGTACTATATCTGTATTTTTTCCGGTCCATTGCTTTAAAAGAAAATGTGGAAAGAAGAGAGAAAAAATATTGCCATGGGAACCAGAGCACCTCATACTTGAATACACTGAAAGAACAGCAGCAGACAAAGGTTCAAGTTGTTCTAGTAGTGGACAGAATTTGACATTATCTTAAGTTCTAGCAATGACAAAGGATTCCAGTCATGTAACCATGCTAATGGAGGACTTTTCAGTCCTAAATACTCAGGTTCTGCACCAAGTTTGGGCTTCATTCAGAGGGTCATTTCTTGTTGTAGCTTGTACTAATTCCTGGGGGCAACGCAGATGAAGATGTTACTAAACTTGTTAATATTCCTGTGACCACTTCTGAGAGCTTATACTTCATGGGTATGGAGTTGTTTGACAGGCATTGCATCAGTGGGAACGAGCTCTCACTTATCGTAAGAGATAGGCTGAAGATGAAGCCTGCATTTCCGTTAAACCCAGTGCAGGAGATACCATTGCTGAAGGAAGTGTAGATGACATTATTAGGATTGAATTTATTCATGAACTTGAAGTTCTGCTACAAAGAGCATATTGTCCCCAAGAGAAGTTTGACGCTAACTTTGGACCATCTGATCCTAATTCCCTTGTTAATGACATTGATAAAGATACAGCTGTCACCGTGATGGGGAGTGTGGTTGACTTTGGCCTGGGAGACACTGTGAGTATCACAGTAGCTGATTCCTTTGCTTCAGCAGTGGAACTTACAGAACAGAGAACGGCACACCCACAGCCTGGAGTCTCTGTCACAGCCCTTTTGACGAAGAAGCCATGCATTTAGTTGAAGAAGGAAAAATGTACTCAAGAATACTGAGAACCGAAATGTTGGAGTGCCAAAGAGACAATGATTTTCTTGCCAAACTTCACTGCATTTGACAGGCTTTTCAGGTAAATCTTTCAGAAACGGCCAACAGAATATTCCTTACTGAGAGTGGAAGGAAAATTTTTTATCAGCTTTAATTGTGAAAGCATGAAAGAATCCAAAAAGTTTGAAGATGTTTTTGATGAAATGATTTATTTAATCTGTTATTAAATATATTTTAGAGCAGACTGATCTCTGGCAAAGTACTAAAATGGAATTTGCTGCTAGAGGGGTGAAAGAAATCTAAATTTTTATGATGTTCTGGGTTTTATATTAATAGATTCTTTAGAAGATTTAGACAATCCACACACATCCATACAGAAGGTGGTAAATAATCACTGGATAAACTCTTCCTTCAAAGAAACCACCGTGGCTTCAAGTCGTTGGTCAGTGCTGAAACAGAAAAGGCAACAGATAAA